GCCCCACAGGTTCCCACAGAAGTCACCCGATTTGTTTGGACTTTTTTTCTTTTTAAGGCTGCCTTATTAGTCTACTTTTTAAGGCTGCCTTATAAGTCTACTTTTGAAAAACAAATGTATCTGCTGCAGCCATCTGCTGCCTACAGAGATAACGTTCAGACGCATGTCTAAGAGCAAGCCCCTGTGACGTGTGCACCGGAGCGGGGCAGCAGTCCTTCTGGACTGACCCCTGGATCCAGCTGCACGGCAGGTTACAAGGCAACCCATTCCTTCACATCCTATCTGCTGCTCTGTAATATTCCCAACCGAACCCCTGCCCCTGCGTCCCGGCCCCCTGAAAACAAGCACTGCCGTCAAGTTGCTCGTCTCACGGAAACCCGATCCAAGGTTCCCGAGGCTGGAAGCCTTTCCCGCACCGTCGGCCGCGTCCTTCACCTGGGGAGCGGCGTGGGTGGGTTGGTGGTTCGAGTCCTGACACTGGTTCTCCACAGCACACCTCGGTGCGCTGCCCCTCTCTGGGAAAGCGCATCCAGAGGCGTCTCAAGAGCCCAAGTCTGCAGAGAAACAAGCCGGTGCTCACCCTCTGGGCACGCTCGGCGAGGACGAAGTTCACGTGGCCGAGCGGCTCGGCGGCGGGGTCTGGGCCGCTCAGTGCGTACATGGCGAAGCGGGGCAGCTGGCGCGTTAACTCGAACACGTGGAACTGCGTGCTGTGGCGACCAACAGAACACACGGGAAGGGTTTGTGTCGGGCGCCGCTCCGGCCCCAGCCCCGGAATCGCACAGACAGGCACGACTGGGTCATCAGGTCGACGGATGAGGTGTTCATTCGACAACCGCCCCCGCTCACTCCACCCCCAAAGCCGGCGGGTTCACGCGCTAGAGGGAGCATGGGCGCATGGGCGCGCGTGCATACACACGCGCCCAGTTTAAAGGAAATGCGAAACTACTTTCACAATCTAGCCTCTCGGTCGGTGTTGTTCCGCCCCCCACTAGGTGAGACGGTATGTAACCCTAATAAAGGTGCATCCCAGCCCCGCCACCTAAGGGCCCAAAATCAAAGTGACAAACTATCCACTCAACAAGGTTTTAGCAACGTCCGCATGCGGGATATCACGATCATGAGACCTACACGCCCTTTACTTGGTCAAGCATTTCAAATGAGGGCGACTCAGCTGCGTGGGAAATCACAGCTGCTCGGGCCCACGGAGCCTGCGGCACCATGGTCAAACACACACAACCCCTTGCCGCCCTAAGCGCCTGGGGCGAGCGCCAAGGTGGGCGGTGCGGTCACCTGCTCCGGTAGCCCACGAAGGTTTTCAGGTGCAGGTCCACGGGGACGTCTTTGGGAGGGGTGAGTGGGATGC